ACTAAGTCAAGAAGAATATCCTGCATGCCATATACACTTAAGTACAAACGACAATATATAGATATAGATATAGATAGACACATCTAGAATGATTCGATTTTTCCTCTTTCATACGCATCAGAGTGCTTATACTTGAGTGCGTGTGTTAAAATTTTTACGCATGCAAGTCTGAGTATACACTAATGGAAACACTCTATAGTAATTATTCATATGATTGTGGGAAAATGCAACTACCAGGCCTTCATCGCTTTAAACGAAGTTGTGTGAATAAATCTCATGTATAAATACAGAAGAGCTTAAAGTCATGCCTGGGTATCAGGGTTTAACGACCCAAGTAAAGGCAGGTGCAAGATTGCGTAATATATACGAATAAAGTTGCGTTTGGTAGAATCTCTTGTTTCATAATTGTTGAGCTTACTTCCATTTTCAGTGAAACGATTTGGTGAAGAGATTCGAAGATCGATCCCACCAGAAGACGACGGCGGATTCCTATTGACCAGCTGCCGATTGGCTTTACTGGAAGCTTCATGCTGACGCTGTTTCCGAGGCAGCAGCCTTCGATTCCGGTGAAAATGTGCTAAGTTTTCGTCCGTCGAATTGCGGACATCATCAGAGCAGGCTATCATTCTTACAACCATATTGAATCTAATGAGTCACGTCACGGACGAAAACTTAGAACATCTTCATCAGAATCGAAAGAGGTTGCTCAAGAAACAGCGTCAATAGGAAAGTTCCACTAAAGCCAGTCGATAGCTCACTGTCGTCTTCTCGCAAGAGCGACCTACGAATCTCTTCATCAGACACTTTCACTCGAAATGAAAGTGAACTCAACGAGATTACCTAAGTCTGAAAGTAATTCTGACCGAGAGTATGAGATGCAATTCAGGTTGCAAAACCATCAGTCATAACTTGTAATCAGCCCACCTCTTTCAATCGGAGCGACATACGAATCTCTTCATCCCGCATATTTATACGAAGTGAAAGTCTCTACAAAAATGCTTAGTTGCACATAACTGAGTTGGCCGCCTTTTCGAAACTTGATCGTGTTGTCATAATGTCCCTAAAGAACATGCTCAACTCTGATTCCATTGTCCGAATAGTTATGATAATTTCTAGCCTCAGGCCGGTAGCTTGATACATTCCTGGACGTAGTCGGCATTATCAGCGAGAAGTAACATTATCTGACGAATTATTGCCCGATCCTAGTGATATCACTTCTTACTCATCAAACCGAATAAGATATCTGCGAAACGTTAAAGGAGTGTACCGAATCAATTGTCGGATGCTGGAACCCATCATAACTACTCGGACAAAGGAAGCAAGACTGGGTCCATTCTTTGTGGGCTGCATGGCACCAGCCCCTGGGAAACCGGTGGCTTCCTGAATCCATCTGAAGTGATTCACTCTTGGTATAGAATAGAACAAACGAATACATGGAGAAGTAAAGAAACTGCCCAAGTAGCCGGGAAAATGGTCAAGAGAATTGCCTCCACTAGACTGCTTTAATGAATTATGGATCGACGTTTAAGGCGCCGATTCTAAATGTTGTCGAAAAAACGACCGCAAATGTACCAGTTCAATAGTCCGAGGCCGGAACTTATAATGACTAGTGCGGCAAAGTATACAGGAATGGGTATATTCTTCAAGTTGCGGAAATAAGGTCAAAATTACTCCAAAGTTGATGAG